GCTTGCCAGGCAGACGCTTTTGCCGCTAAGCTAAATCCCCAGCCCCTAGAGTTTTAAGATGGTAAGTTTAGGTAATGCCATAAAGATAAGTGAGGATGTGATTCTTGGGGACAAAAGATTAAAGATTTGGCCTTATTTATGTTAAGTCATCAAATGCTCATAAATGAAATTCTCATGATCATAAGATCATAAGATGCAGACATCAGGTGTAGGGATACTGATACACAGGACCTCCAAAGAAGATAATGGCAGGTGTGGCAACTGATGAGGGCAACAAGGGAAAGTACTGAAAGAAAGAAAATTGACAATGTTTTTGTTTGGTTGTTTGTTTGTTTTGTTTTGGTACCAGGAACCTTGCATTTGATATGTAGAACCTTGCTTTTGCCCGGTAGGCATTTGCACCACTGAGCTATATCCCCGGTCCCCTGAAAGAAAGAAAATTGAAGACTGGGAATTTCAGTTCTAGGAAATAGATGAAGCCAGGCATGGTGATGCTTACAATCCCAGTACTTTTGGAGGATGAGATAGGAGGATGGTAAATTCAAATGCAGCCTGGGGAGTTTAGAGATTTACTGAGACTTTGTCCCAAAAATAAATAAAAAATAAAAATCTGGAGATGTATCTCAGTGTGAAGGTCCTTGGTTCAATTTCTAGCTCCCCACCACACTTGACAGGAAACCAGTGAAGGAGATTAGAAAGTGGGGAGATAGAATAACTAATAGTGTGCAAAGACACAAAATCAACTGGGTAAGTGTGACATGGTGGAGCATGCCTGTAATCCCAGAACTTAGGAGGCTGAGGCAAGAGGATTGTTGCAAGTTCAAGACCAGCCTGAGCTACAAAGTGAGCTCAAGGGCAGCCTGAACTGCGTAGGGAGACCCTCTCTCAAAAACAAAGACATAGGGGCTGGAGATTTAGCTCAGTGGCACAGCGCCTGCCTGGCAAGCGCAAGGTCATGAGTTCGATTCCTGGTACCGGAGAAAAACCAAAAAAAAAAAAAAAAACAAAGACATACAAAATAAATTTAGACAGAAAAAAGGTAAGGTACAGAATAGCATAGATAATGTCATAATATTTGTTTATTTATTTATGTTGTCCTTTTGAGACAGGCTCTCACTATGCAGTTCAGACTGGCCTTGAGCTCACTTTGTAGCCCAGGCTCATCTTGAACTGGAAAAGATCCTCCTGCCTCAGCCTTCAGAGAGCTGAGATTACAGGCCTGGAATTACAGGCATGCGCCAGCACGCCTGGCTGGAAGACAGAATTTATCTTGATATAGTTGAAGTTTGCTGGAATAAATTTGTGAGCTGATCAGTTTTTGTGTGTGTACAGAAATACATATATATTTAACATATACTGATATACATCTTTCTCTGGTTAGGAAAAGGCAATAATGGACTTTATCAGGGACTAGACATTGGCAAATAGGATGTGACAGAAAGGCCTATTGCTGAGAAATTTAGAGTGCTAGTAAGAGCACTTAGAGGTGAGGATAGGGTGGCCAGGGTGGTGAAGATTGAGACTGAGCTGTGTGTGGATGATATCATAATGGAAAGAAATTGGAAGATACTTTTCCCACCAGCAGAGGTAATTGGATAATAGGAATAATATCCACTTAGAGGAACTTAAATCAAGGCAATAATTCTTGTCTACCATCCAGGAGGTTGATGGAAAATCATATAATAAGATTGCAGCTACAAAAGGATGTAATACTATTTTATTGTAGTCAGCAAAGAAAAAGCAGTTTAAAGCCAGTTTCATATGTTTAGGTTTTATGACAGGAGAAATGGTAAACTACCTTCATACAGTGCCAACTTTTTGACTGCAATTTTCCCCCCTGGAAAGGATGATTTTTATAAAAAAGAGTAACTTAAGGGAAAAATGAGGAATAAGTGTAAGGAAAATACATGTAACTGAAGCCAACCCAGAGCAGATGGCATCACTACACATTTGTGATTTCATGGCAATTCCAGGTGCGTTCTTGTGGAACTCACCAGAGAGTTTCTGGAGTTAGGTAAGACTCACTCTAGGGCAGCAGTGGTGAACCTATGGCATGCATGCCGCAGAGCAGACACAGAACCCTCTCTGTTGGCACTAGAGCCAAGTTGCCCCAGGAGTTGTTTTCTAAACTAAAACCTCAGTATTCAGGATTAATTGCAATGTTGACATTTTGCAATAAATATGTGGGTTTGGGATTCCACTTGTTTTTTTGTTTGTTTTTAATTCCAGTTTGGGCCCTGGGTCTCTAAAAGGTTTACCATCAGTGCTGTAGGGTATCCACTTGGTTGTGGCTGTGAAACAAGACAGTGTTTAGCCCTGAAGGTGCTGTATACCTTTTGTGGACAGATAAATCCTTGATAGGTCACAGCCTGGAGACATCCTTGGAACCTGATTGTGTAGAATTACACTCTGACTGAACTTGCCCTTGGGGCTATGAGTCTGGTATTTCTTGTGGTGGCAGGTCAAGTCAGATTTGAAAGTACTGTAGTAGTTTCAAATGTAGTTTCAAATGTCTCTTATGGAGGAACGTGCCTTTTCAACTAGATCTAAGTAATGTTCCCTGATTGTATAGAAAATCATGAAATACTAACAAAGAAAAATGCTATTACACTTTCAAATATTAGATTTTAGGGGCTGGGGATTTAGCTCAGTGGTGCAGCGCCTGCCTGGCAAGTGTGAGGTCCTGAGTTTGATTCCTGGTACCTCCCAAATAAATAAATTTTTAAAAATGAATATTATATTTTAGGTTAACAAACATTGAACAAAACAATCATAACTGACTAATGGAAATGTTCACCAATTAAGAGTTGAGAAATTAGTTGTGATCAGAGTTAGGTAGAAAAGGACAGTGGATAAAATGTTACTGTTTGTTAGTTAACTTGAAGCAGAGTAAATCAGTTAAATGACTTTGAAAACCTTAATTTTTAAAATTTTCCCTTTTGAGTGTCAAGAAGAGCTCACCTTGTGCTGACAGTCTTGTCTGTCCCCCGGAAAAGATGTAGATTATTATACACTTGGGTCATAAAATTTAAAAAAAGTTAAAGATTGCTTAAAAACACTAGTTGTAAAATGAAAAAGTAAAACATACACATAACAGAAATTTCAAAAGGATATAGAACAAAATATAGTCTCATTCTAGAAAGACAATTGTTTGTTTTAAAATTTTTTGCATCAATGTAGAAAATGAATATCCTATTAAATAAACAATTGTGTGTATATATGCCTTAAAAATACAATTTAGAAAAAAATACAATTTACAACATGAGTTCCTATTATAACAATATATTTTAGAGATCCTTTTCTATCAGTGGACATGAATACACTTCACTCTAACAATTGTATAGTACAAATATTTAAAATTTTGACAGAAATTGGGAAATTGTCCTCTAAATATGCTTACAATCTCATTAGTAGTGTACATGAGTGCCTGGTTCTCCACACTTTGTACACAGAACTTTGCCTTTTGGTAATTGGACAGAAAACTTTTTATTTAAATTTTTGTTTTAAAAAGATTTTTATTTTATTATTTATTTATTTTTGTGTTTTTGAGACAGGGTCTAGCTATGCGATTGAGGCTGACCTTGAGCTCACTTTGTAACCCAGGCTGGTCTCTGACTCACAACAGTCCTCCTGCCTCAGCCTCCCAAGTGCTGGGATTACAGACATGCACCACTATGCCCAGCTTAAATTTTTAAAAATTGTAAAAGTGATTGAGAATACTTTAAAGATAATAGATTAGTGGTGAGCATTTTGCAAAGTCATGTATAACTGTGGGTCTCTTTTAGGAAGAGGGTCACCAAAGAATTTATTATAGGAAGAACAATTATGATGATTAGGGTTCTTACATAATGTGTAGCATTAAAATTTTTTAAACAAGAGACAGTTTCACAGATAGGTTTCAGTTTTCAAAAAAGGGGAAGAAATACCATTCTGTAGCTCGATGTGGGTTTGTCAGTTATTACCTCCTCATTTCCTGGGACTTCCCACTGCTTATTTAGCACAAATCAGACTTAAGTAAAAATATCTCTTTTTCCATAGGATCAGTTATAATGAGAATGGTCATGCAATGACCAGCTCAGTCTCTTGGTTTTACCCGTGAAGGACTGGCGAACCTCTGCAGAGTGCTGCGAGCTTGTTCTCTACTTGGTCAATTACTGCAGAAACAGAAGAACAGACTACTTAGTGAAGGTAAGAAAAAGGAGGCAAAGGGCCTTACACTTCTGTTTACATTTCCTCTCATTTCTCGTCTCATACTTTCTTAGCCTATTATCGTCAGAACTTAGGTGGAATCTTGCAACATCTAAAATGCTTTTCTAGCTTACTAACTCAGAGGTGATATGAAGCAAGTATTCAAAGAAATTGGACAATAAGTGTAGCCAAACATTTCCTTTTCTTAACTTCATGTCCATATTTTGCAGATTTCAAAAATACTTTGTTAACCTAAAATCTGTGACTGGTTAGGTCAAATTCTTTGTTGTAAAATTTATTCAATCCTCTTTTACTAATTGCTACACTAGTTTAGCTTCTTTGTTTTTAAAAGAAGGCCTAAAACTTTAAGCAGAATGTTGCAGGGACAGCATAGCTCTTGAGTTCAGTTATGGTGATAAGTTTTAGAGAAAAACACAGTCACCATGTATTCCAGTTGGATTTTACTCTCAATTTTGTGGCTGAGTGAGTTTATGATGGTGGTGTTCTACATGGCAGGAGATTTTCAAAGTAAATGTGATCTACAGTGACAATGCTTTCAAAATTGTTAACTGGGTGATTTGGGGAAAGACTGTTTTTTTTTTTTTTCTTTTTCTTTTTGGCTTTTTGACTCAGGGTCTCGCTATGCAGTTCAGGCCGGCTGTGAGCTCACGTTGTAGCCCAGGCTGGTCTTGAATGCTTAAGGATCCTCCTTCCTCAGCCTCCTGAGTGCTAGGATTACAGGCATGTGCACATTTCTTATACAGGTCCATTTGAGACCATTGTTTTTGGGCTTGGGACGCTTTTTATAGGAGTGAAGAGTACTTGCAGTACATGTTAAATATCAGTGTCCTAATGGCAATTTGGGAAATTTATAAAAGAGGTCCACTGCAGCAACGTGATATTTAAAATACATCAAGTCACTGAAACATTTCCAATCACATGTAAAATGGTTATTTTAAATTTATAAAACTGTCTCTCTAGGCTCTTAACAAATGTGATATAATGTAAATGTCCCTTTACTTAACTAAATACAGTTACTTTCCCCTGAATTTTTATTTTTACAAGCTTTACTGTTTTATTTTCTTATTTAGAAATTTTTTTTTGATTGCTGGGCATGGTGGAACATGCCTGTATTCCCAGCACTAGGGAGGCTGAGGCAGGAGGATTAATGTGATTTCAAGACCAGCTTGGGCTACAAAGTGAGCTCAAAGCCAGCCTGAACTACATAGCAAGACCATATCTGAAAAAGATAAAGAAAATTTTTGTTTTTTGAGACAAAAATCTGATCTGTAGTTCAAGCTGACCTTGAACTCACTATGTAGCTCAGGCTGGCCGTAAACTCACAGCAATCCTGCCTTAGCATCCTGAGTGTTCAGATTGCAGACATGTACCACCATGCTGGGCCTAAAATATTTTTAATTAAAAGATTTTATTAGTATATATTTGTATATACTTTCAATAAAAAATATATACATTCATCATGGGTATGAAAGTTTCAAACTATATAAAATTGAGATAATAGTATGAGAACATCCTTATTTCCATCATGAAGATTAATCAGCTGTATATTTTTGCCATTTTCTTTCACTCTTTCTCTCTCTGCATTTTTTTCCTGAATCATTGAAAGCATATTGTTGACTTTAAGGAACATGTCTGTCTTTCACATCATTATAACACAATTGTGACATCAAGGAGATTTAGCACCAATAAATGCTATTATCTGTCATATGACCCACATTAAAATTTCCCCAATTATCACATCCTTTGGACCTTTTTTATATCTAGTACCCAATCAAAAGCCTTGAACTGAGCTTGATTGCCATGCCTAAAATTATGTAAATGTTAATGATAATAAGCATAATTAACATAGTTAACAATGATTAATGACTGAAACAGTAAGAAAATTTAACATCAGTACAATATTACTGTGACTGTTTTTCTTTTTTTTCCTAGTCCTGGGGACTGAACCTAGGGCCTTCAAACTCAGTTACTTTCCCAGACTCCCTTTTTTAAACTTTGAGATTGGATGTTGCTCAATTGCCCAGGCTGGGCTGAAATTTCCAATCCTCCTGACTCATTGTTCCAGAGTTGTGGGATTATAGGCATGTGCCACTGAGTGTGGCTAGTTTTCTTAATTTTTTTTAGTCATCTATTTTGTGTCCAAATACATTCAAAGTAATTTTTAAAAATGATCACAAGGTTTGTTTTTTCAATTTGTGAGGTGGTAAGAAAGAATATGGACCCAGGTCAGTAAAGGGACAAACTATTCTTAAAGATAAGTTTATTAGTCAGTCAGCCCCAAATAGTAGAAAAAGCTACAAAAACT